TTGCTCCCCTTGAGAGAAAAGCTGTGCTGTCCCTTTTCTTCCACCAGACTCTGTAGTCCATGTGAATGTCTCATTTCATCCATAATGATGCGGTCACTGAGGGATGGTGTCTGCATCAATGTGTACCATGCCATTTTGATTACTATGACCTTATAGTACAGTTTGATATTAAGTAGTGTGATTTTTCCAGTTTTGTTCTTTTTTCTCAAAATCGCTGTTGCCATGCAGGGCCATTTGTGGTTCCATATAAATTTTTGAAACATTTGTTCTAGTTCTATGAAATACATCATTGGAATCGATAGGAATTGCCTTCAATCTATAGATTGCTTTGGCTAGTATGGACATTTTAATGATGTTAATTCTTTCAATCCATGAACATAGTGTGCCTTCCACTTAATTTGTGTCTTCTTCAGTTTCTTTCTTCAGTGTCTTCTAATTTTCTGAATACAGGTTTTCTACATCCTTGGTTAGGTTTATTCCTAGGTATTTTATTCTTTTTGAAGCAATTGTGAATAGGATTGTTTTCTTGATTTCTCTTTTGGTTAATTCATTATTGGCATATAACAATGATGCTGATTTCTGAATATTGATTTTGTATTCTGCTTCTTTGCTGAATTCATTTATCAGTTCTGGTAGTTTTTTGGTGGAGTCTTTGAGGTCCTCTGTACAAAATCATGTCATCTGTGAATAAAGACAGTTTTACTACTTCCTTGCCAATTTGGATGCCTTTTATTTCTTCTTGTCTGATCATTGTGGCTAGAATTTCCAGTACTATGTTGAATAAGTGAGGTGAAAGCAGACATCCCTGTCTTGTTTCTAATCTTACAGGGGAACATTTTTAGTTTTTGCCCATTGAGTATGATGCTGGTAGTGGGTTTGACGTATATGGCCTTTATTATGTTTAGATATGTTCCCTCTATTCCCACTTTTGCTGAGGGTTTTTATCATAGAGTAGCACTGGATTTTGTCAAAGGCTTCTTCTGTATCTATTGATGTGATGATGTGGGGTTTATCCTTCATTTTGTTTATGTGGTGTATTACATTTATTGATTTGCCAGTGCTGTTCCAACCTTACACCCCTGGAATAAATCCCACCTGATCATGATGTATGATCTTTTTGATGCACTGCTATATTTGGTATGCTAATATTTTTGAAGATTTTAGCATCTATGTTCATCAGGGATATTGGCCTATAATTTTCTTTCTTTGTAATGTCTTTATCTGGTTTTGGAATTAGGATAATGCTGACCTCAAAAATGAGTTTGGGAATCTTCCCTCCTCTTGAATTTCATGAAATAGTTTGAGAAGCAGAGGTGTTAGTTCTTCTCAGAATGTCTGGTAAGATTCCCTTGTAAAGCCATCCAGTCCAGAACTTTTGTTTGTTGGGAGATTTTTCTATATTGCTTCAGTTTCAGTAGGGGTAATCTGTTTATTCAGATTCTCTGATTCTTCCTGATATAGTTTTGGAAGATTGTATGTTTCTAGGAATATATCCATTTTGTTCAGGTTGTCCAGTATAGTTGTTCATAATATTTTCTTACAGTTCCTTGTATTTCTTTGGTGTCAGTTGTTATTTCTTTTTTGTCTTTTTCTTAATGGTGTCAGTTGGAAACAGAATTATGACCCCTCCAGAGATATCTATGTTCTGATTCCTAGAACTTGTAAATAGATTACCTTACATTACAAAGGGGACTTTGCAGTTATGATTAAGATCCTGCACTAGGCAGTTATCTTGGACTACCTGGGTGTACCCACTACAATCAAAATGTCCTTATTCAGACAGAAAAAGACAAATGACATTTGACCTGACTTTTATATATAATCTAAAAAAAGAAAAGAAAACAAAGGCAAAAACTTCATAGAAAAAGATAAATTTGTATTTCCAGAGGCCAAAGGTAGGGGAACAGGGAATTAGAGAAAGGTGGCCAAAGGGTACAGACTTCCAGTAACAAAATAAATTAGGCACTAGGGATGTAATGTGCAATGTGATGACTGTAGTTAACACTGCTGTATGATAGATGAAAGTTAAGTGAATAAATCCTAAGAGTTCTCATCACAAGGAAAAAAATTTTTTGCACTTTCTTTTTATTATATCTATAAAATGATGGATGCCAACCAAACTTAATTGTAGTAATCATTTCACAGTATATGTAAGTCAAACAATTATGCTGTACATGTTAAAATTATACAGTAAATCAATTATGTATCAATAAAACTGGGCAGGGGAGGTCCTCAATAAGAGAGGGAGGAGTGTGAAAGTTAGGATAAGAAAGACAATGGAACCAGAGGTTGGAGGGTTACACTTTAAATGAATGGGCCAGGAGCCAAGGGTACAGGTGATGCAAGCACCTCTAGAAAGGGCAAAGGGAAAGACCCTTCCTTAAAGCCTCCAGCAGGATTATAGCCATGACAACATCTGGATTTTAGACTTGTGACCTCGAGAACTGTAAGATAATAAATGTGTTGCTGTAAGCCACTGACTTGGTGGTGATTGTTACATTACACATAGGAAAATAATAGTGTCCTTTGAAGCATAAGGGTTTTTTATTTTGATGAAGTTCAGTTCATCCAGTATTATGTTATGGATTGTGCTTTTGGAAGTTTTAGAAATTTCATAGTCTTAGTTCTTTCATTTAAGTCTGTGATCCATTTTTCATTTTTGTTTGTGGTGTGAGGTAAGATCTATGGGATTTTGGCAGGTTTTTGGTTGCTGTGGTTTTTTGATATGAGAATATCCAGTTGCCTAGCAACATTTGTTGAAAAGATTATCTTTTTCTCATTAAATTATCTTGAGAACTTTGTCAAAAATAAGTTGACTACAAATGTAAGGGTTTATTTCTGGATTCAGTTCTGTTCCAGTGATATATATGCCTATTCATGAACTAATATCACTGCCTTGATTACTGTATCATAGTAAGTTTTGCTATCAGGTAGTGAAGTCCTCCTTCTTTCTCAAAATTATTTTGGCTATTCTGGGTCCTTTGTATTTCCAAATGAATTTTAGAATAAGCTCTCAATTCTCCATAAAAGAAAGCCTTCTCAGATTTTATTAGGTATTACCTTGAATTTTTGCTTTATGTGTTGCTAAGGATTTTATCCTTTTTGATGCTCTTGTGAATGGAATTGTTTTTTTTTTAATCTAATTCCCAGATTGTTCAGTGATAATATCTGTATATATAAAAATATTTTATGTCTTGTATCCTGTGACCTTGCTAATCTTGTTCCCTAATTCAAGAATTTTTTGGTATGTTCTTCGGGATTTTCTGCATACAAAATTGTCATCTGTGAATAAAGACTATTTTACTGTTTACTTTCCAATCTGGATACCTTTAATTTATTATTTTTGATGTATTTCACTGTCTAGAACCTTCCAAATAATGTTGAATAGAAGTGTCAAGGAGGGATAATCTTTGCCTTGTTCTTGATCTTAAGGGAACATATTCAGTCTTTCACCATTAAATACAATGTTAGCCATTGGTTTTTATCGATGCTCTTTATCAGGTTGAGGAAGTTGCCTTATATTTCTGCTTTGCTGAGAGGTTTTCTCGTAAGTGGGTGTAAGCTTTTGTGAAGTACTTTTTCTATAACTTGTAAGGTTAACTTGGGGTTAATAACAATAATTTGCATTTGAATGTCAAATCAGCTTTAATTTATGTTCATAGGTATAATCCCAGACACCACTTGGTTACAATGTACTATAAATTTCATATGCTGCACAATTCGGTTTGCTAATATTTTTTGAGGATTTTTGTGTCTATATCATGAGGGATATTTTTCTCTGATGATTTGTGCAGGGTTTGTGTGTGTGTGTGTGTGTGTGTGTGTGTGTGTGAGAGAGAGAGAGAGAGAGAAGGTAGGCTAGGAAATGAAAAACTATTAAAGGGCATGAAAAAACTTTCTGGGGAGATGTCAATATGTGGTATGGGTATATACATTTCTCAAAAGTCTTTAAAAAGTTTTTGTCATAGTGACAACAAAATATTATTGTAAATATCCTTTATAAATATTGTTATGTTTATAAAGTCCTGTCTTGATTTAAGATAAGCTCTCATTTCTCTTATTCTCATTAAATGTTCTAGAGCTACTCACATCCTTTTTTCCCTCCTGGCATCTTATATCACTCCCCTGTAGGTAGGATCCTAATGTCAGGATTACACTGAGGTTTAAGTAACAAGTGCACAAGTAATTCACTTTTGGAAACCTTGCTACTAAGTAAAAAGTTATTAAATGAAAGATATTTTTCTGAATTTTAATGAAAAAAGTGATGTGTTTTATCTCAATCTAAGATACACAAGTTTCACAGATAGAAAAATAAATGTAAAAGCTTTATAAGAAATGAATGTAAAAGTAAATAATTTAGTTTGATCATAAAGTGTAATGTGATGATCTGTTATCCTCAGCAAAGGAGCAGGCAAGGTCTTGAGCCTATAGGTTGGTCGAGAAGGTGGGAGGCACTCGCTCTGAGATGTGTTCTTCCTTCAACACCGTTACCTTCACTGATGTCTCACTCTTTGGGGGTGGGGGGGACTGTGCATGTTTATCTTGCACTCAGACTAAACTCAAAAGTAAATTATAGTTCAGAAAACCACCTTGGGACCAAATAAGGGCCACAGACATCTCACTTTGAAACACATGAAGGTTCAACATCTCTGAGAAAATGCTGCCCACGATAGCCTCACTTGGTGTGTGCGTGCAAAAACATTTGGCTTCTTCCCAGACTGTTGAATGGAGAACATTGATGAGTGTGTCTTAGTCTGAGATTCTAATGTACTCCCCTCCCTGCAGAAAAAGCTTTTTGTAGCAATTTATTTTAAGGTGTTTTGAAGAAAAAATTAATTATACTAAAACGTAACTCACCTGAGAAATGGTGTAACTTCAAGAGTGTTCAAAACAAAAGTTGCTAAACTGTCCAGTACATGTGTGAGGTAGGTCTGTGTTTGTGGTGTTTGATTAGGGTGTGCTTCTTTGTTCTTCTGCATAATAACTCTCCCATCACACAGATACCTCCTCTGGTTCTGAAGACGAAGGCTCCGTGCAGGGGGACTCCCAGGGGACGCCTACCTCCAGCCAGGGCAGCATCAACATGGAGCACTGGATCAGCCAGGCCATCCATGGCTCCACCACCTCCACAACCTCTTCCTCATCCACCCAAAGTGGGGGCAGTGGTGCCGCCCACAGGCTGGCCGATGTCATGGCCCAGACGCACATAGGTGAGTACCTGTTGCTTCATGATTCTCATTGTACCTGTGTGACCCGGAGTAGCCAAGTCCCTATGTAGAAGTTTGTCGATCTAGACATCACATCCTTGGAATCCACCCGAGATTCCACAAAGAGTCCCACTCTAGCTCCTGGTCTGCTTTGTGCTTTGATTTTCCTGTTCTGTGAAACCATTGGTTTTATTATTTCTCAGCATCCCAGATTTCTCCTACAGCTGGAATTCAGGAGCTTGCTGCTCATAAAGGAATGCACTTGTTCTTTAGGGAAACTTGCAGCCATATCTGTTTACATGTTTTTTTCTTATTTGTGTTAAAATATGCTCCTAAATGAAATTTTAATACTGCTAATAAGCAGGCATGGAATTGTAAAGTGTGTTTACCATGATTTGGGAATCATTTAAGGAATCAGAGGGCTTTAATCCCTACTGTTTTCTGGCATAGTTATGTAGATTTCTCCGGTGGTTCATGCCATTTTATATGTAGGTTCTATGGTGAGATCTTCTATATTGAAAAAGGCACAAAATTAGGAAGCATTGCCTGAGATGTTTGGAAATAGTGTGAAAAAGGAGATTAAACAAGAATTATTAGAGGGAAAGAGAGTGATTGTATGAGCAGTGTGGCTGTTTCAAATGTGGGTAAGTGAGGTGCACGTTCTTCTGCCCGCACTTGTGCCAGCCACTCGGTTGCCAGGGAAGTGGGTCCTTACAATGTGCAAAAAGAACAAGTATGATGTCCAGGTCTGTTCTGATCCATTTTTAGCTGTATGTGATGATTTTTAAACATCTCGGTAGTATCAGAAATGAGACCATGTGTCTAAAGCCAGGACACGGGCAGCCCTCAGGAGAGCTGGGTCTGGTCTTGCTTCTCCCATGCGCGGCTGCTGGCATCTTCACAAGCCACTTCTCTATTGTCTAGTTTTGTAGTGGGGGAAAAAAGAATAGTAATTTCTTTCCTTTGTACCTCTAAGAACTGTTGTGAGTGAAAAGGAGAAAATAGGAAATTTCTTCCAGATTTTTTAAAGTAACATTCAAATGCAATGTGATGGTACTAAACTTCAGTATGAGAACTTTTTGGTAGTGTGGACACTGGCTAATGTGCACTATGACTCTATTTGAAGTCATAATAAGTTAAAAATTAAACAGAAATGTGGGACCATTAAATATTTTTAGATAATAAAATGTCTTCCTGTGTGTGTTAGAACCTGAGATAGCGGCTGAGGTCCTGCCCTTATGCCTGACCCAGCACTTGCTCAGGGTCAGGCATTGAAGTCCCTCCCCTCTGCCCCTCACACCGACCCTGGAAATGCGTGTGTTCTGACCCAGTTCCCCTCTCAGGAAGTGTCGGAATCTTGCTAAGAGAAACACATAATTTTTAACAAATTAATTACCGCATTTGATTTTCTCTTTGTGAATTTGCACATGGAGTCCTGGAGAAAATGATAGTGAAGAGAATTAAATTTACCAAGACTATAAGAGGGTGCATGATTCATGTACATAAGTCTCAAAGTAAACCTAAATATAGCTTTTTAATGTCTGACATTTCAGTAATTTCTATATTGGCACAAAGATAAGTTCCTAGAATATCTGGGGCTTTTCTGTAAATATTAAAAAAATAGAAAGCAGTGGCAAAATAATAAAATGTAAAAAATGAGAAATAAAAACTTTATTCCTGTGGTAAAGCAAAAGAAGTAAAAAGTCAGAGAATTGACAGCATTTGACCTTTTGTTGAGATCACTGAAAGGCTACAAATAATATGTGTGTGTTTTAAGGAATTTAAGGTAAAATAAACCACCATCTTGTGCTTCTAAACCCTCATAGTAAGGGCTCGGGTAGTGTCTACAGACACTTCTTTGCCCAGCTGGTTAGCAAGTATCTTCTGTCTCCATCTCTCTTTTTTGATGTTCTTTTTCTTCCCCCTGGAAAAGGAGACTCTATTGCTAGACTTCACTCTTTCACCTTCATTCTGGATCTCAGCTCCTCCCAAATCTGCTAGCTTAGTGCTAAGCTCTTTTGCATCTTAGCTGCCCTTTGGGTGAACCCTAGCTTTGGGAGTTACTGACTGATCACCTCCGCTCCAGCCTGCCCACATCTGGTTTCCTTCCCACTTCTGATTCCTTCCTTCCCTCCTGGTGGCTCATCTCCTTGCCCTGTTCCTCCATTCTTGCCAATTCCATCCTCTCCCAGTTTTGAAGGCCACCTGCTCCTCCTTAACTCACACACCTGCATTTTCCACTGTGAAGTCCCTCACCAATCTTTCACATTCCAAAGTGCCTCTGGGAACCACCCATCGGCACACCCTGTACCCTGAGGTCAGCTTCTCTCTTGCTGTTATAGTCCCAGGAGCAGGCCCAGTGACCTCAGCTGCCCTTGGCTCCTCCTTCCCTGGTACCATCCATGCCCGTGTCCTTGGCATTTGGCTACTCATGGTCTTGCGAGCCTTATCTCTCTCCCTCACTGCTCCCAGGGCCCTGGTTCCAGGCACTCCCCTCCCAGCTGGACCATTGCAGCCCCTTCCACCCTATCACCCTTCTTTTACAATGTCCTGTATCTTGCATCCCTGTCAATGTTGTTAGGGCACCAGTCTGTAGGTGCCCTAAAGACAGTAACACCCAAAGCTAGACAGTCTGATCCTGCCTCTTTTCTCAAAAAATGCTTTGGGGATTTTTATCTCTCAAAAGTGATTTTCTTTATTTGGATTTTATACTTAAAGTAATGACTTTTGGACCCACAAGTGTTCTCACCCTTTATCCACTGTGCACCCTGTTTTGCAGGAATATCTGACCTGACTACACTTTGGTATACATGAGAAAACCCATCTATTTAGCTCTACTTTTCCAATGTTTAAATGTATTTAATTCAAAGTGGTGACACAGCCATTTACACTTTCTGCATGTGAGTTTCACAGATTCTTTCTTGAGGGAAAAGCATCCCCACACAAGGGGTTAGAACCAGCGCAGAGGAAGCGTGCAGGTGTGGGCGACCAGGGCCTGATGCCCTGATGGCAGTAATCACATCACGAGAGATGTAAGGTGTGTTGTCACTTACTTCCCTCAGTCACAGTGAGGAGTAATGCTATTATTCTGCAAACAGAAGACTGAGGCTTAGAGTTGACAGGATGCTCCTGGCAGCCACCTGAGGAGTCAGACTCCCATCTGCTTGGTGGCAGAGCCTGGGGGACACTCTGTGGTCTGGGTCTCTCCTCACTTTCTTTGTTCCATTGCTTGTTACAAATGGAAAGGGAGCTCTTTTCAGACAAAGTGCAATGAAACTTCACACAAACAGTAAAGGTTTCCGTGTTGCCATTGCTGTTGGGGCCTTTCATCATACATTTGAGTGTGGACAAATATCCAGACACTTTTGTCCGAAGTGGAAGATTTTTGTTCTGACCTACCTTAGAACACACTTCTGCAGTTCCTACTTACTTCCTACTATTGCATTTACTGCCCTGTGGGATTTTCATGGCAGAAATGTGGGCATGAGGCAGTTCCAGGTGTGAGAACCTGTGTAATCTTGAACTCAACCCTGACTCTCGGGACGTTGCTGAAAGGGAAGTTTTGACATAGAACCTTTAAATCTGTTTCTGACCATCTCCAGGTTTAGTCCATGGGTAATTTGCCTGCACATTTGAAAAGCAGCTGTGAATCACCATTATCACTATCACACTCACATGTTCACACAAACACACACTCAAACACGCATTTACGTGCTCACACACATAGGAAAAGTTGATCAGCAGGAGACAAGGTACGCAAAGTATATTGCTCTGTCCCTGAGTCACTATTAAAGGAATCAGAAGATAAATCCTCACATGATATTTTGTCATGTGTCACTTTTAGTCAAGACACCAGTTAGAGCTTCCCTGTGAGGCACTTCCCAGGAGACCCAGGGAAAGTGGACTTCACTGCTGAAACCAAGGAGGAACGTCTTCTCTTCCAGCTGGTTGCACGTGGAAGACATGTTGCTGCAGTGAGTGGTCCAGCTGAGCCCCCAGCCGCACAGCTAATTGTGACTCCCTCAAGAGCCAGCTCTTCCCTTCACCATTGTCTTTTGTTGAGATCACAGCTAGTGGTTAAACTTTGTTCACCTCCATGTTCTCACACAGGGACCTGGTTTTTCACCACCATGTGAAGGGCATGATCACGTCATTTTAGGAAGCTGGGGCAGCTGGGCAGACCAGGTGGGGCCCAGATCACAGGTACCTTGTTTCTTCCTTTCTTAGTGAAAACAGTGGTCGAGTTGACAGGAAACTGGGATGGGGCATTCTTAGTGTACAGAAATGTTGGTTCCTTTGATCATGTTACTCATCGTATGTCACCAGTCAGTGGACCACAAACAGATTGCTTTTTACACATTAAAACCAGATTTTCTACTGTTCTCTTTATTTGGGGACTGAAAAATAATTAACATGGCTTAAAAAGTGGGTGTTACCACCATGACCTCTGTGGATTTCAAATCATACAGTTAGAATTAAAGGGCAATTCTTTCTAGTGGGTGTTAGAACTGGATGCATTTTATCTAGTCGTCAGCTGTTCTTTAATTCATTCATTCTTTGAACTATTTCTCTAGCATTTGCTGAGCAGACAGTGTGGGCTGGTATGGGTTACTTTAGCTTCTGAGGAGGACACAGGAAGCCAGACTGAGCTGGACGCCTGCCCGGGCAGGTGATTAGGAAGAGTCGAGGAAGCAGGGATTTCCAAGGCCAGGTTCAGCAGGGAACTAGCCTGGACCTGGAAATGGTCCCTGCCAGAAACAGCTGTGCAAGTGGGGTAGATTACTGGCAAGAGGAACAGACTAAAACCCTGTGTGGGGTAGAGGTTGGGTGGGGGTCAAGGACTGAGGTGAGGCCTATATACTGATTTTGCCAGAGCAGTGTGCAGAGGCTGCCATGAAAGATGGCAGAGCGGCACTTCCTTCCCACCTTGCTCTTGTGCCCATTTTGAATTCCTGAGTCATGGGGAACCCATGTCAGCTGCTGATAGCAAAAGCCGAGCAGAGGTAGGTGAAGCCGAACCCACCCCACTGAGGGCAGATGTGAAGGTGTCACAGACAGCTCTCAGGGAGTGTTCACAGTGGAGGTGACACTTGACAGGTGGCTAGAAGGATGGTTGCCATTTTTCTCGAGTCAAAAGGACTGGGGAATTTATCTAAGAAACAGTGGGGCGTCTTGCTCAAAAGATAAAAGCCTGCTCTAATGAACATTCTTTTTTTTTATTTTCATTTAGAATTCATTGAGAAAGCTGTTAGTTTGAACAATAGGGAAATTTTATTTTTGGTCCTGACAGCCCTAGCTTAGTGGGTTGGGCATCATTCCACAAAACAAAAGGTCGCTGGTTCAATTGCCAGTCAGGGCACATGCCTGGGTTGCAGGCCAGGTCGCCATTTGGGGGTATGCGAGAGGCAACTGAGAGATATTTCTCTCCCTGTTTTTCTCCTTCCTGTCTCCTCTCTCTAAAAATAAATAAACATTTAAGAAAAAAATTAAAAAATAGCATCTATATGAAAACAGTCAAAAAGGCACAGAGTGTATGTGCCCTACACCTCCCTACATCAGAAAGCAGCTAGAAAGGCAACCTGGGAGACCTTGTGCTAACCCCGGAAGTCTCTGCGCATCCTCTGAGTTCCCTTTGAGGGTTAATCTTCAAAATGCTCCTGATGCAAGTAGACTCCACTGGCCTCGTGCCTAGAGCTGGCAAGCATCTTTGGCCTTTGAACCTTCACCCTCAACTTGATTCTACTTTTTCCTACCCATCAACAAATGTTTTCTGAACATCTGTTATGTCCAAGGTTTTAAAAAATAGTCCCCCAAAGATAGATAACCTAGTTAAATACTTGCAATCCTGATCTTTATCAAAGTAAAACAGGTTACAGTACTTCACTGCCGCATCAGCATGTCCTCTGGCTTCCTAACAGGAGCAGCTGCTGGGCTGATGGATCCCACAGTGACTGCATAAGCGAGGAGTTCGAAAGGGAGTGGGAGGGGAGGTGTCATCTAAATAAATTTGGAAAGTACTTAGAAGTCACCCAGCTGTCACTGTTCCTACTTTTTAATCACGAGATGTGTTGGAATCATTTTTTCCAGCTTCAAAATGGAAACACGACAGTATTCTTGCCGTCCAACACAAAGACGGATTGGCTGTTTATCACCAGTGATGAGGCTATAGCATCACCCAAACCAGAGAATCTGGATAAAATCGCAATGCAGTGTACCCACACTATAGCTGCTTTTATTTTAGATTCTAATTTGAAAGTCTGTTCAGTTCCCATCAGCATCTATTGTATTTTCATCTGAAATACGAGGCCCCAGTGAGTGTGCTACTTGGCCATGTAGAATTAGATCATTCTGCCACATGAAGTAAGGTTGATTTGGCAAAAGCACTGGTAGAGATGAATGGGAGGATGAACAGTCTCTGAATCATTGAAGAGGTGATTTGAACGGTCCTCTTGTCTTGCTCTCTTATTTACCCTCAGTGATCCACCTACATGTTAAAATTATTCATAACCCCAATCAGTAAGCTCAGCCTTCTCGTGGTCACGTATGCACATTTACAGAGCAGCCAAAATTTGAGGTCCTGACACGCTTGTTTTCAGCTGAGGGCGATGTTCTGCCTTCTTGTTCCAGCTCTCAGACTGTGAAGAGTGTCCTTTACAGGAGCAATTTGGTGCCCTGTTTCTCCTCTTGTGCTTTTTATTGGTGGTTTCACTGTTTTTACAGCCCCTACCTCCACGTGTGGTGCTGAGGAGGGAGTACTGAAGAACAGTCCAGTACTTTCCAATACTGTCTCCCCTTTTTACAACACAGGGAAATCACTTCTGTTGCATGGAACTATGGAATCTCGACAAGTTTGCATGTGATAAAGATTAACTAGTCAAAATTAATAGCATAATACCCATTATAAGGACTCAGGATATAGAAAGTGTCATTGGAGTCTCATTTGATATGCTCTCCTGACTGCGTTATTTAATAAATATTGGGAGAATGCTATGTAAAGTGTATGATTGTCTAACTACTATGCTGTACCGCTGAAACTAATACAAAATAATGTTGAATGTAAGCCGTAATTTAAAAATAAAATTAAATAAACAAATACAGGAACTGTGCTTTCCCCACTTAACCTTTTAAGTGGCTGACATCATCACCGATGCCCGCTGCGGGGACAGCCTGCTGCACAGCTCACTGCATCACCAGCATCAGTGCACGTGAGTGTGCACACCTGCTCTCTGAGTGAGTGTTCAGTATGCTTCTGAAACAAACAAAATAGCTAATATTATTTTGAGTGGTCAGCCTCTATCAAGAAATGTCCTCAGAACATGGGCTATTAACTCACATAACCTCCCCTATAAGGAAGTCGCCATTATCATTCCCACTTGATAGATGAGGAGACTGAGACACACAGAGGTTAAAATGTGCTTCCCAAGATCTCGAGGAATTTGTGAGTTGGAATTCAAACTGCAGATGGTCTACCTCTGAAGCCTGAGTTGTTAACTGCCACTACTATGACAGACAAGAAAATTGTTCTTTATGAACAAACATGTAACTTTCAATATCTCTTTTTCTACTGGCTGCTTAAATACGTTATTCTAGTTAAAATGCTAAAGTGATTGATTCATTGACATGGCTCCTGTTAGGATGTTATGTCTGAAGTTTTACTTAATTCTGTTTCATTTTGAGCAGTGTGAATTATCTTTAAGATCATCTTTATGCTGAGATTTTTGTAGTAGACTTTGATTCAGAATTATGGTCTCTTCACAGGATGTGGCCTTTATAGATACCCTGTTTCTTACTCAGCCTTCAGAGTAACTCCATCAGGATAATCCGAGAACTTGTCATTTGCTTCTTTACAGAAAATCACTCTGCACCTCCTGATGTAACCACGTACACCTCAGAACACTCGATACAAGTAGAAAGGCCACAGGGCTCGACGACATCGCGGACAGCACCAAAGTACGGCAACGCTGAGCTCATGGAGACCGGCGATGGTATGTCTCCCCGCGTTTTCTTCCTTCCTCTGTAAACTCTCAATTCCACCAGCTTCTCTTTCAGATGAAGATTGGATGTGTTTCTTCTAGATAAACAGTCAACTCACAGCTTACAAGCCTCCCATACAAGGTGGCATAGTCACAAGAAATATAAATCATCTCCAAGTTGGCCAAGAGTTAAAGATTCTGATGTATTTGCTAATGAATAACTAAAGTTGGTTCAGCAATTAACAAATGAGTGTGCAGGCATTAAGAATGTGAACAGTTACCTAGAAGGGCAGAATGTAGGTTAATGTAAACAAATTGACAGATATGGGCCAATATGCTGCTCTAGAATTTAGAGGTTAGAGGGTCTTTTTATCCATATTGGAAAAAAGTATTAGTGATTTGATAAAATGCAGTAGTAGGGGTGTTTTTTTATTCCTCATATCATTAATCTTTGTGTATTCTGATTATGGTGGCCATTTCCATTACCCAGTCTGAAGTAGCAGACTCGAACATGAACTTCATGTGTTATTTTTCTTTCCCAACATCTCAGTCCTGCCTGGGTCATGAAAGTTATAATAGAACCCAATGGTGACATGAAATGCTGTTTTTGTGGAATATGGCCAAAGTAGGGCTGGTATGCCCACCAACCACCTGCCACCCTGTCCGTGATGCCATGTGATTCAGAGGTGACGAGGAAGTCCTGCCCCCAGTCTCTTAATAGGCAGCACGTCTCTCTATAATGGGCAGAGCCCAAAGTCAGTGCAGCTCATGGGCTCCTGTTAGTACATTTGAAGTCACTCCAGTGTCCCATATGATTGATTTTCCTGGAACACTTTCGGTTTCAGTGTTTGCTTTAGTTCTGTGCTAAATTTGTTATTTTTAAAATTGACCATTAACTGTTATTCTAGTCACTACCATTTTAGTAACTTTGTTGTTTTTGAAGTCTATTATCTTTACCTGCTCTCCCACATAAGTTCATTTGTTGTCCACATGATTCCATTTGAGTCACATATTGTCCAGTTCAGAGTTTTTCAGCATGATGACCTCTTGTCTCAGAATCACTTGGGGCACTTGTAGAAAGCAGATTCTGGGCCACACACCAAACCTAACTCATGATAAACTCTGGGCCAGGCAGGTCTTAGAATGATTCTCACATATTCTACGCTGAGTTGGAAAACCAGTGGCGTTGTAAAATGATCTCAGGTTCATCTAAACCAAATTAACAAAGACTATTTAATGAAGAAATAATGTGTGTAGAGACTGATAATTCTGGGTTATATATTTTTATATATTTTCAAAACTATAAAATATTTAATGTCTCAATTCTGAAGGTTCACATTGAGTATTTTGAGATTACCTATGAAAATGTTTCTGATTTGATAGAAAAATTTCCTTGAATTCTGTCATGTTCACACCCCAAAAGCTGAGGTTTTTTATGATACCTACAGTGGAGAATAAGGGCTCCTCTTCAGTCATTATGGGGGAGCCCCCTTCAGCTGTGGTCCTTAGACTGGGAGAGTAATGAAGTTTCCACACCCACGCTCACCAGGTGTGGGTTTCCAAGCACCTTCCAGTGGAATGAGATTGGCCTGCAGTGGGTGCATTTGAACAGTTAAGCATCTTGGTACTCTTCTTATTCATTAATTTGGGTTATTTATTTAAAAATTTTAAAACTTCTTGCCTTTTCCAATGATCATGTCACTTGATTTTCAAAATGATGTCACACTCATTGTTGTAAGAAGTATATTATTGTAACATGGGGTTAATGTTTCTCAGGACACATGGATAAATATATGCTAGTATTCTGTCATGCAAAAATTGAATTTAGAGGCTAATTGCTGTGGTTCTAGAATGCATTGCCTGAATGCTCACTCAGGAGCATGCAACTGAGACACTTGGAAGGGACACTTGTGTGGATAGGGTCTACAAGGCACTTGCTTTTATCAGGAGGTGTGCGTGCTGGGGGGTGGCAATGCAGGCACTGCAGGGCACCCAAATTGGATGTCTTCATCAGAATGTTCTCTTGCCCAGTGAGGCCAAGGACTCAGGGAGAATCTCTCTGCTTCCTCAGCTCTGTGGTCTCCTTGAAAAAAGGGGCCAGAGACAGGATGAATGAGAAGGTGACAAGCCCAGTTTTAGGAATTAGAGGTGGGTCCAAGCCCGATCTATGGTCAGAGCTCTCCCTAACACCTCCGGATCAGGATGGCTTGTGAAGTTGTGAAAGAGAACTGTTTCTGCTGAGTCTCTACCTTCTCACGACTTCTCAGCAGGGTCAGTGCACTGTGACTGTCCATCCAGTAGAACGTCTTTACTTGGCACATTGTCCTAGGTGGCACTTTGAGGGACACTGAGTCAGTCTCAGTGCCATCCCTGCTTCTCTCAGCCCTGAGATGGGGCAGTGGGCATGGGTGTCTCAGCCCTGTGGTGCCTGTTCAGGTGGGGTGGATGGAAATCAGTCATCTGTCCCACGGTTCTGTTTTTCAGGAGTGCCAGTAAGTAGCCGGGTATCCGCAAAAATTCAACAGCTTGTCAATACCCTCAAACGACCGAAACGGCCGCCATTACGGGAATTCTTCGTCGATGACTTCGAAGAATTATTAGAAGGTGAGAGACCCCTTTTCTACCCCCATTTATTTCAACACCCCTATGCTCCCATAAACTATAATGGTACTTTTTTCTACCAAGGCTGTTTTACTTTTTAAGAACAATAATCTTGGCATTCACTAGAAGATGGGAATTTTATCTAGAGACCATAGGTGCTATTTCTGCAAGTCATGTAAAAGCAAGTACTGTCCCACAAGGCAGACCTCTTTCTAAGGACCCTGTCAGGTTCCAGAAATGCGAGTAAATCATAGAAAACGTTGCTGACAGGTACACAGTTCCCTCTGAATAAGCTTAGGAGGAATGCAGTGAGCATGTAGCCTGTCCCATCCCACTCCACCTTGTACAAACCCAAGAGTGGGTTTCTTAACCCCCAAGGGCTCGTAGCTTATTTATAATTAATGTTAGAAAGGAAGGGAGGGAAGGAGAGATGTAGAGAAACATGGATGTGAGAGTGAGACATGGATTGGTTGCCTCTCATACACACCCTGAGAGGGGCAGAGACTACAGCCTATGCATTTGTCATGATCAGGATCAAACCCATGATCTCTGTTTTAACCAACTGAGCCACATACAAATCACTTAAAGTCAAAACAAAAAAATTATATCAAACACAAACTCTGTGTGTTCTCATTCTTTATATCACAAATAGGATGTAGCTGATTTTCTGCCCAGCAGGTGGAAATCGTCAGTCAGTCATAAACTGTGAGACTGAAACCTCTTCCAGAAATGAGAAAAAAAACCCTCAACTTCTCACCTATCTAAACAGTGGGGCAAATTGCATTTTATCATGAGCCATTTATTTTTGTTTTACTCAAGAAAGTGTGATCTTTGCTCATTATTTGTAGTAGTCGTAGCAAATTTGAATTTACACCTCAGTATTTAAGGGCAAAATAAATGTCAGCTTAAAAGATTTGAGCTCTTTGGGGTCCAGAATTACTAGCCTATGTTGACCATTGATATTTGTAACATAGTTGTTGTCATCCTAGACTCCAGGCGCATCCGCATCCATAGCCCTACTTGCTGTCAGTTTGCAGATGCACTCGTGTCTCCCTAAGTATCCCACCCGACATTGCCTGGGAAGTTATAAGAATTATGTGCCTCCATTACATCCATGAGGACAGTATCTGGGTCATAGTCCTGATTCTAGAAAAGCATGTGTATGTATTTTCTGTGCACTAATAAATTTATACTTTAAGTATAAGCCTCCTACCTTCCTTTAAAGGAATAAAAATGTGTTCATAGTGAACACATGAATGTATTTTTTCTGAAACTTCTTGTGTCCACATGTGTTTAGTTCAACAACCAGATCCGAACCAGCCAAAGCCGGAGGGAGCACAGATGTTGGCCATGCGAGGGGAGCAGCTGGGTGTGGTTACAAATTGGCCCCCATCTTTAGAAGCCGCATTACAGCGATGGGGGACCATCTCACCAAAGGCCCCATGCTTGACCACGATGGACACAAATGGGAAACCTCTGTACATCCTCACTTACGGTAATCATATAAGGCTTGTCTGCCTCTGTTTGCTTATGCACATACCTGCCACTTTCAGGGTGGCTAATTTATGTTAGTGCTGCTTTTATAATTCTAGTCCCCAAATAAGTGGAATCTGAAAGGAAATGTTTTAGAAAAGTTATTTTCATATGTGAATATGAGAAATCATTTGTTAAATTTTTTTTAGTAAAATCCAGAAATGGATCCAAAAATTTAGCGATCATCACTCTAACAAGATGTTGGAATATATGTGATATTCTTGAAATTCCTGGTTTTAAGGAAGGGTTGGTAATTAAAGAATATGTATCAATATGTATCAAAGTATGTATAAATACTTTGACATGTATAATTCAGGAGAAACAAAATCTGTTTGCAAAGTGCTTTTTCAGAAATTGAGAGATCTTTCCTTAATTTTTCATTCAATACGTTTAATGTAGTTTGTAATTTTTTAAAAATAGTTAACTGTATGTAGCAGAGAGATCCCTTCCTTTGTCCCATGGGTAAGGGACCACAAAAAAACAGATTGTCAGGTTTTTGCACATTATCTGGTGTAGCTTTGCAAAGAAACCAGCTTAATAACTAAAAGACCAAAATGGCTCATATTATACCTGCATGCATGAGGTTAAATTACCTTTTTTTTTAACTTTGAATTTTGTTATGACAACAACACTCTTCTAATTGCAAGTAGGAAAGAAATTGATGTCTGCATTAGCAGTCAATGTGAAGAATCAGACGTTACATTAAATAACATAGAGCCCAGACTTCCAGGGAGGGGGATGAGACCCCAGGAAGCATCAGCCATGGAGGCATAGTCATCACTCTCCTGTGCATCCCGAGGCCAGAGATGGGACAGGGATTCAGAACAGATGTTTCATAGCCTTGTTTTTATGACATTGTCAAGCATATCTAAGTGGATAAATTGTATTTCACTCATGATGAGACATAAACTTGATTTTTTAAAAAATTCTGCTCTTGGAAATTGGTTTTATCCTGTCAGAAAGATAGAATACTCTCCTGTGTGAGCCTCGCCTCTTGCCACATTCAGCCATGGAGCCGGCTGTGTGCTTGGAACTGCTGCTCCTCACCCGGTTCCTCGGAGCTTCTCTGGGCACATGAGCGCAGCACTCATCTGTTAGCCACAGTCACTGCTTAGCGTGTTTGAAGCACAGGCACGGTGCTAAGGCTTGGGGATCAAAGCTGAGTGAAAGCCAGTTCTAAGGGCTTGTGATCTGCATTGGAAGTATGGCCCTGCTGCTTCTACTGATGGAATAGAGAACAGACTAGTGTTGACTCTCCTAAGGTAAATTTGAAGTGTCAGATAAAGACTGATGATATCTGTGAAAATGTGGAGTGCATATGTCTACACCAAGGCATCTCAGCTCCTGCTTTCAGTCATCTATATTTTGTAGTATTGTAGTCATCTGCATTAGACATATGTTACAAGTCAATCTTTGTTTTTACTTTGGTAAAGGAATATAAAAAAGCAATGGCTTTCCAAATGTAAGATTGTAATTTATAAGGATGTAAAATGAAAGTGTTGATTACTATGATGAAAACTGGAAAACAGTGTTATGTAGAAACACTATATAGATGAACACTTAATGATTGGATGTTGCTGAAAAGATGCAGAGAAAAGTTCATTGAGTAGAATTGTTCTAATACCAAGTAACTTGGTATAATCAAAGGGCTAGACCATTTGCAGTATGTGGTTTACATTCAGCTCTATAATGTAGCTTCCTCAAACCCCTCAGGCAGCAGAATTCCCAGTGAGAAACAGGATCTTCAGTAGAAAATATAGATGGTGAATGAAGGTTATAAGCAAACTCATTTTAAAAATCTTATGCTTTCCATTTACCAATATAAATTAAAAAGCATATGAAGAGAACACATCGCATTTCATCATGTTAAATTAATAAAAGTAAATCATGCTGAGCAACTACCTTCCTTTTAGCCCTGCTTCCAAAACTCAGTCTTTCTTCTCTACCTTCTCCTTAATATTAATGAGAGATCTGCTCACTGTTTTTGCTTTGGTGCAGTGTCTGTCTGTCTCTCTCTCTCTTGATTTACAACTTGATTTTTGCCCAAAATGTTTCAAGAGATTTAGACTTAAGCTAGAAAAGCATGGGGCAACCTTCTGTATCTTTTTTATTTTTTACTTTTGCAATGTTGGTGATGTGCTTCGCAAGCCCCCACCACAGTCTCCAGGTTAAATAGCCACTATATTCCACATGACTTCTGATTGCCTTTCCTCATCCATCCACCTCCCCCTCAGAGTTACACTCTCCACATGGTGCTTACTCCTCTCTCAAACCAAAGGAAAGTTAAAATTTATACATAATAACATAGTGTTTATATAATTTCTACATCATTTTTCCCCCCTGAGAGGTACATTGCTGTTTCAGAGTTTCAATGTCTGTTCTCCCAGTCAAAATATCTGTTTACCCTGCCTTAAATCTGGCAGAATTTCATCTCTAATTCCCAACTTTTAGATATACAATACAGTATTATTAACTATAGTTGCCAAGCTATATATTACATCCCTGTGACTTAATTATTTGACAACTGAAAATTTGTGCCTTTTGACTCTTTCCACTCCTCCATCTCTAGCAACCACCAGTCTGTTCTCTCTATCTATAAGCTTAGTGGAGGTTTTTGTGTTTTTTTTTATTCTACATATAAGTGAAATCATATGCTATTTGTATATATCTCTTTGACTTGTTTCTTTTAGCATAATACCCTCTAGGTCCATCCATGTTGTTGCAGATGGCAAGATTTCATTCTTTTTTATGATGGAGTAGTATTCCATTGTTTATATATGCCACATTCTCTTTATCCATTCATTCATCAATGGACATTTAGATTGTTTCCATACCTTCATTATTGTAAACAATGCTGCAGTGAATATAGGGGGTGCATATGTCTCTCTGAGTTAGTATTTTTGTCCTCTTTGGATAAATACCCAGAATGGAATTGCTAGATCATAGAATTTAAAAATTCTATGTTGAATTTTTAAATAAACTTCCATACTGTTTCTCATAGTGGCTGCACCAAATATTGGGTTAGCCAAAAAGTCCATATGGTTTTTTCCATAAAATAGAAGATACATTTTTCATTTGTACCAATAACTTTATTGATTTGGATATTTTGAGTCTGTTGACTGTCTCCCCCATGGTATAACATTGATGGTTCTCAATGTCTTGATTTGATCACTGTCAAGTTCAACTGGTCTGCCCAACCTTGGAGCATCATCCAGCAAGAAACCTTTAGCACAAAGCTTCACAAACCACTTTTGAAATGTTCCATCAGTCACACACCTTCTCCATATGCTGCATAAATCTGTTTTTGTGTTTCAGTTGCATTTTCACCTTTCTTGAAATAATAAAGCATAATATGCTGAATATGTTGCTTATTTTCTTATATTTTCAATATTAAAATAGCTACACAAAAATTCACCAGTTTTGATTAGCTTTTTATATGCACACTGATATGACAGCTGTTACAATACAATCTAACAAAATTGTTTTGAATGAAGTTAAAGACAACTAAGTGCTGCTAGAGCCATCTTATGGGAAAAAACAAATGAACTTTTTGGGCAACCCAGTACCTCCCCACCAACAGTGCACAAGGGTTCCCTTTTATCCACATCCTTGCCAGCATTTGCTATCTCCTGTCTTTTTCATAATAGCCATTCTAACAGGTGTGAAGTGATAGTTCATTGTGGTTTTTGGTTTGCATTTCCCTGATAATTAGTGATGTTGAGCACTTTTTGTATACCTATTGTTTATCTGTATGTTGTCTTTGGAAAAATGTCTATTCATATCCTGTGCTCATTTTTAAATGAGATTGTGGGGGGTTGGTCAAATTATATGAGTTCTTTATGTATTTTGGATATTAACCCATTATCATTCATCATTTGTGAATTTCTTCTCCCATTTAGTACAATAGCTTGTCTTTTTATTTTGTTGATGGTTTCCAGTGCTGTGCAGAAGATTGACGTAGTCCCACTTGTTTATTTTTGCTTTTGTTGCCAAATCCAAAAAATCATCAAGACTGATGTCAAGGAAGTTACTGCCTATGTTTTCTTCTAAGACTTTTATGGTATCAGGTCTTATATTCTAATCATTACTCCATTTTGAGTTAATTGTAAAAAAGATTTTATTTATTATATTTTTAAAGAAAAGAGAAGGTAGGGAGAGAGAGAGGAGAGAAACAACAATGTGAGAAACATTGATTGGTTGCCTCTTGTATGTACCCCAACTAGGGACCAAACCCACAAGTCAGGTATGTGCCCTAACTGAGAATCGAACTGGTGACCTTTTGTTTTACAGGATATGCCCAACCAACTGAGCCACACCAGTCTGGGTTTGAGTTAATTTATTGTGTATGGTGTAAGACCTAGGTCTAGGTCTAGTTTTATTCTTTTGCTTGCAGCTGTCCAATTTCCCAACACTGTAAGTTGAAAATCCTGTCTTTTCCCCATTGTATATTCTTGGCTCATTTGCCATAAATTAATTGACTGTATGTGTAGGTTTATTTCTGGGGTCTTTTCCATTTACTTGATGTATGTGTTTATTTTTATGCTAGTACCACACTGTTTTGGTTACTGTAGTTTGTAATATAGTTTAAAGGCAGAGAATATGATACCTCCATCTTTGTTCTTCTTTCTCAACATTGCCTTTGCCATTTGGGGTCTTTTGTTGTTTCATACAAATTTTGAAGTTGTTCTATTTCTGTGAAAAATGCTGTTGAAATTTTGATATGGATTGCATTGAGTCTCTAGATTGATTTGGGTAGTATGGGCATTTTAACAATACAGACAAACCTTGGAGACACCACAGGTTTAGTTCCAAACCACTGCAGTAAAGTGACCATCTCAATAAACTGAGTCTCATGAATGTTTACTTTTTCCGTGTAAAAGTTACGTTTACACTATACTGTAGTCTATTAAGTATGCAATAATGTCCAAAAAACAGTGCAATTACCTTAAATTTACATACTTT